GACGGGGGAATGCGGGGGGAGGGGGAGGAAAGGGAAGAGAGGATGCGGGAACGGAAAGAAGAAGCGGGCCCACGCGTTGGCGGGACGACGGTCGAAGACAATAAAGCCTTGTGTGGTGATGATGCGGGGGAGAAAGAGGGGAAAGTGAGAGAGAAGCGAAAGGGGGGAGGAACGGGGCAGGCCGCAGTGGAGCAGGAAGGCGAAGCAGAGGAGATGGTGGAAACGAGGCTATTCGAAGGGTACGGCTCAGCTTCTGGATGTCTCGCCCTTATCTGTCTACCTTCGTTATGGCAACGGCGAGGAAACGACACCCGTCCGGGCGCGCCGCTCACCGAGCTCGCCTCACGTTCCCAGAGCAATGAGAACTCTCCTACCCTGGCCCCATCGGCGGGCCCGAGCCCGAGAAGCGACGACCAAAGCCGCCAAAATCGCATCAACAAGGCACCAGCCCAAAAGAAGGGCGCAGGGTGCCACAGCGCCTGGTTTAGAAGAGTTTGGGGCGAGAAGACGGGGGATCCAGTAGTAGGGCAGGCCAAGCCCGACATCGCCACGCGCGAACGCGAAGCCTCGCCCCATCTTTGGCCACACGTGTCGCGTTCGCCCTTTCTCGCTTTCCATGCAGCTTTTCCTTTCTTGAAACCTCCCATGTTTCGCCGGCCAAAGTCCGCCTCCGGCATTTCGACCCGGGTCAACGGGAGCAGCCCCAAGTGCGTGGAAGGCCGCTTTGGTGACGATATCTCCAACCCCGACGAGATGGTCGCGCGATGCAGCAACGTCACGCCCAACCACACCCCAGCCACGATCACGCACCAGGCGTCAACCATCGAAGGTCGTGGGATGGACGTGGATGGGAGAAGCGAGCCTGGGCCCCATCGAGTCGTCGACAGCCGCAGGAGGAGTGAAAAGTCTGCAATCCCGGAAAGAAGGAATCTGGAAGGGAAGCCCCGGGAGACTGCCTCCACTCGTACAGAAAAGAGCGAGTCCTTTGCAGTCCACGGCAACCACAACACTCACATACGAAAAGCCACGCACCACTGCTCAAGCCTCTGTGACAGCAACCGTACCACGATTCCTGTAAATATTACCAGCAGCGAGAACCATATCAGGGGCCCGCAGCACCGAGATTCCCATTCAGGGAGGAGCATCGCAGTCTACGCACTCGGCACGCGCAACAGTGCCTTTTCACCAGCCCGAGACAGGCCGGAAGGAGGACGGGGGAGTGCCTCGGGTGCCCGTTGTGGATCGAGCCTGTCAGGTCCTTGCCCCGGGCCATCTGCTTTCCACCGGCACGTTAGAAACCCAACAAGCACCCTGCGAGCTTCCAGCGACAGCCAAGGCGTGCCAGGCGTCAACAGTCGAGGCCGAAGGACTCTGTCGAACAGAGGTGTACCGGAGCCTAGGGGGGATCTCACCAGCGTCGTCAGCAAAATCCGTGGTCGGGACCAACGAGGCGTTGTGCAACCCGCCGCATCCACCGCCCGGGACCGTAATAAATTGCGCAGTAGCCTGGAGGCTTTGAACGAGGTGTCGCCGTCTACGGATACTACCTGTGCGAGCACCCGCAGGCCTAGGAGGGACGGTACGCTTCCGAGTGACAGCAGGAGCACCATCACCGGTAGCCCCTGCCTTCCAATACGGACGGCCGGGCCAGCCGCTGCTCGTCCGGGCAAGGTCGAGCAGGAATGTCGCCGCGGAAAAGAGAATTCCGGGAAATGCGAGGCTCTCACCACGAAAATCATCAAACGGAGCACCCTTCGACCTGTGCGCATGTCACGACGCGAGTCTGTCTATCGGCTGGCGCAACGGCGGGACGGCATCAATGAAATGCACCCTGATATCGTGGCCCGCTGCCTCGAAACTTTGGCCGCGAAAATGCCTGACGAGGGGAAGGAAAAGGGCGCGAAATGGGAAAGGCCTGTCAGTGCGTCAGGTGCTTTGGAGGAGGAAACCGCCCACCGTCCGTACTCGGTTGCGGAAGTCTGCGCGCGACTCGAACGGGGAGTGCTTCGACACTGGCAGGACCGGGGAGGAAGCGAAGCAGGAAAAGTGCGAAGAAGGACAGAGCCAGGCAATGTCCTCAGCGATCCAGAAATCAACGGCAGAAGAGCCCACTTTGGCCCAGCGGGTAAGGCCGAACACGACGACAGCAGGGTCGGGAACGTCCCCAATCGTCGATACAGCCTCCGCCCGGGGACCACCTCCGTCTTGGACCTCCTGGAATGTTTTGAGGCGCGGAGGCAGGCTCATGTAGAGTATCAAAGCACTCTGGCCGGGGAAAAGCTCCGGGAGAGACGCCAGGCGACTCCTTCGACATTTTTGGAGTCTACCTCCCTTTCTCCCCCGAAAGTGTCACTCCCTGCCTGTAGTCCCAGGCCCCTAGCCCCCTCGTCACCAGCCTCTGGCCCCTCTTCCGGCCGTTTGCCATCTCCTTCGAAGCCTTTCCCTCCCTCCTCGCCCACCTCCTCCCCAACCACCGACGAACTCCTTATTGTCGGGGATACTGGAGGCAGCAGCCTGTCAAGGAATAGCAGGTCAAAGTCGGACCCGGCCCCTCCTCTCATTGCCTCCACGCCTGACACCGACCCATTGACCAAGCCCGACTTGTCCTTATCGTCTTCTTGCTGTCCACCCTCCCTCGAGCACGAAGCTCCTTCACCCCCTTTTCCCCCGCCCAATACAGCTTCTTCCGCTGCCCCACCCGACGATATTTTCACGGCAGGTGAGATTGTGACCTTGCGGCTTATTTTCGCCCTTTTTGACGACAACGGCGACGATTTTCTAGAAGCTTCGGAGCTGGAAAGGTACGCGGAAGAGGATGAGGAGGTGGACGGCGGAGGGGCAAGCCGGACCCAGGCGGAAGAATGCGTGAGGCTACTGGACGGCGATGGAGATGGGAAAATCGGCTTGCTCGACTTCATATGCTTTGCTGCTCGCTTGAAAGAACTGCACCGAAAGGAGGAGTTCTCTTTGGTCTTGAGTGATTTGCGGAGGTCCCGGGCGAAAGCACGATAAAATCAAAAAATCTGAAGGACATGTGTCAAAAAGCAAACTTGTGTCCGAACTCTACATGAGGACTCCGATACAAGGCCGCAGTCAGCGACATCAAGTCAAGTTTAAAACAGCTCAAAATATTGAGGCTCTCAAGGCTCGAAATGAATCCATATGTGCATTTCGGGTCCTAACGCTACATGAGGCTCGGATAGAAAGCCGCAGTCAGCGACGTTAAGTCAATATATAGACAGCTAAGAGGACTGAGGCTCTCAAGACTCGACATGAATCCATGTGTGCATATCGTGTTTGTGATACGCAATGTATAAATTACCGAGTTGTTACATTTTGTTGCATGGTAGAAAGACATTACAGAGCAGCACTT